TCAAAAACGTTTTCCAACTGGATTCAAAAGCCAAATATTCATACAACGGGTGATCAAGCCGATATAAGCATTAGAAGAAGAATCAAGCACAAATAATGAGATCAAAATGCATATATTTAAGAAGAAGAGGAGTTAGTAGTTACATCCAACCAATCCTTAATGAGTTTAGCCACACATGACCATTACAAGATCTAAGAAGTAAAAGAAGAGATTACAAAGTTGGAGATGAAAACAAGGGGTTGGGCTTCGTTCCCAAATGACTCAGCTGCCCAAGTAGTAGTTCCTCCTCTGGTTCTCTCTTCAAGTCCTCCTTACTCTGTTTTTCTCTTTGTGTTTCGTGTTGCCCTGTTTCTTCACTTTTCCCCTTTTATATGAGCTTTAAAACAGGGGAAAAGAGTGATTTTTCCTCCCACGGCTGCAGTTGTAAATCCACGGCTATGGTTGTGGAGAGTCCTTCAGGGTGAAGAAACCTCCAAAGCTGTAGCTGTGGTTTCACAGCTATAGCTGTGACAACTCCTTCAAGCTTAAGGAACCTCCAGCGCTGCAGCTGTGAAGTCACAGCTATGGCTTTGGATCTCTGGAGTTTTTGCTGGGTCCTGGGTGCTCCATGGCTTTAGCTTTGAGTTCACAGCTTTAGCTTCAACTCTCTGGAGCTTCAAATTGTATTTCAGATTTCCACAGCTCGAGCTCCAGATCCACAGCTATAGCTTCAAGTCTCTGGAACCAAAAAATGAGCATTCCAGATTTCCACAGCTATAGCTGCAGAACCATAGCTATAGCTGCAAGTTTCTGACCTTCACAATTTCTCCCCAGATTTCCACAGCTCGAGCTCCAGATTCACAATTATGGTTGTGGATCTCTGCCTTCCTAAAAAAACTGCAAAAATTGAGGAAATTCCTTAAGATTTTGCTACTTCTCCTCTACTCTTTTAAGACTATTTATACAGGTGCTTGTTTATTTTTCTTTTGATTTGATTTTTTTTGATTTTTTTGATTTTATTTTTTGATTTTTTTTTATTTTCTTTTGATTTTTTTTTTGATGAGTATGATAATGATAAAATGAAACTAACAAGCACACTTAAATTTGAGCAATGAAAATGATGGAGGGGTGACTCTTCCCTTCAACTTTGCATTAGCTTAATTTCTCCACTTTCTTTCAACTTGGCAATTTTTACCAACTACCCCAACTTAATCCCCAATTCATTTTCATTTACTCTCAAGAGTTTGGTTAGGGTGAAGAGTTGGTATTTGGGAGAGGTTTAGGGTTATTTGAAGGTTAAGGCTCAAACAGGTTTTAAAGGATGGATTCAATTATGGCTGGTTGTTTGGCTCTAGGCTTAAGACAATTTCAGTTATTCACAATGGGATGCCTTGATCCTGTCCAAAACTTCTCACAAGAGCAATCATTCAAGACTCAAACAATGCAAACACATATTCTATGATGATGGCTCTCAAAGTATAAATGTATATGATAGATGCACTGTTTAGTTTCCCTCACTCACTAGCTTGGCTAAATGTTCAATTACTGATCTTTCATGCCATGCTAATCAAATATCTCATAACTTCAAGATCAAACAAATTGGATGAGTACAACCTCAAAGCAAGTCTCAAAACAAACCATTTTAAGGTGAATCAAAAGATGTTTTTCACTCTTGTTGATCTAAAAGCCATCTCATTTACTACCTTTCAAAAATAATTTTCAATTTTTCCCAATTTTTTTTTTGGTGATTGTTAATTCACAAAAAGTATATAAACCACCAGATAGTCCAAACAATTAACAAAATAGAAACTAAAACAACTGGAATTTAAAATGACTGGAATTTGAAATGGCATAAAATTAAAGTGGAACTTCTCTTCCTCAGAACGAGGGTGACAATGACCCTCCATCATCTCTTTCTTTATCATTGTCTGCTCATGCTCCTGCTTCCCACCATGAAGTTGTTCGCCTTGATGGTGGTGGTGGGGTTGGTGTAGCTGGGATTTTATGAGTGGCTTTAGAGCTTCCGCCTGAATCGCCACCTCTTTAGCATGCCGTCTGAAAGACTAAATCCATTCTTGCAACCAAGTTAATCCACCAGTTGATCATAGAAACAAAACACAATTCTTCATGGGGCATAATGAATGATTGATAAACAGTCTAACATGTGAAACGCTCAAGTTATTTCAAAGCTACCAATGAACAAGCAAATATTTCAACTAGAATTTTTCACATGTATTTAAACAAACAGCCACCAATGAAATGCTATTAGCACTAAATCCTACTTGCTTCCACGATCATCCCACCACAAGATTCTTTTGATTTAGAAAACTGAAATCAATTTTCACTTAGGCATTTTGTCAAGCATATAGCAAGCAAAAACATGTAATGGTCATGCATGTGCAAGGTGGATTATTAAACATCCCAAACTTCAAACTTTTCAATCCAAGAAGAGAATCAATTCCACATTATGTTTTCATGATGAACAAAGAACCCATAAATGATGATGGTTCATGAAAGAAGAAGAGTTCATGAATATTCTTCATGCAATGACTTAAGAGAAAAGAAAATTGAAAATTTTACCTTGCAATGCCAATAAAAATTGATTCTTTTGTGTTTGTGTGCACAGTGGATGAAGAAAAATGAAGGTTTGATAGGGATTATAAGGAAAAGGCATGAGACGTAGGGAGGTGGAGAGGTTTGGGATGAGAGAAAAAGAGAGACCAAGATGTGGAGAGAGGGGCTTAGTTTTAAAACTGACCCAAAACTATCTAAAGCTTTTCATTTAAATTAGAAAAATGGCTCCAGAGAATTGGCGCTGGGGCATTGAGAACTAGTATACAAAAAAAAAACATGACAGCAAATTGGCACTAAGGCCGTGAGTCCAGCACTTCAGCGGTGAGAGTTTGAATTTTAACATTTTAAACCATTTCACATTACACGAACTTGGAAACCCAACCAATGATCAAATTCTTATGACCACACAACACTTAAAGCTACCCAAGCAACTCTAAATCATCCAAAAATGGCACCTCACAAACTAATACTTTATGAACAAAGTATGCAGCCAACATAACCATAAAACTCAAAATTTTGCAAAATTTATAACCATTAAAACACATCAAAACAAGTTTATACTTCATAAGAGACATGGCTTAAAACAGCAACTTGAAACACACACTTGAAACTTTAAACCTTTCTACTATTTCACACCACTACACTACACACACACAAATGTATTAAAAACAGAAGTTTATATAGTGTAGTAACAAATCAACCATGACAAACAGGATCAGCAATTGTAAAACATACTAATAATAACATCATATAAAACATGAATTCAAACATGGAATCAAACAAACCTATTGACATTCATTTCTTACTACATACTACTCACCACCTAATTGTATCCAAAATCACTACTCCTAGTAAACACCAACCAGCAGCACCCCTTGCAGTCAAATATGAAGTTCAAAATTTAACACAAAAACTCCACTACCAAAACAAAGCATCAAAATAATCACAAACCCAAAACTCAGAATGCTACACAACCACTCTAAAACATCAAATTAACTTCATATATCCTAACACACAAAACACAAACATAACCTCAACAAGATCAACAATCTTAACATATCCCAAAACATGCCAATCATCAAGCACATCCATTCTGAAATCAAACAACCCTATGCACAAAAACTCTTAACAACTCACCATTCAAACTAAAACTTAGAATCTAAAACAGAAATTAAAACAAGAACATGCTAATTTAATGTCTTTAGCTTGGCAGTCCCTGTTTGATCATGGCTCCTTCCAATGAATGATGGTAGTGAGTCTTTCAACTTCACCACCCAGATAATGCTTGAGCCTTTGACCATTGACTGACCAAGTCCTTCCAGAGGCAGGATCTTTCAGCTTAATGTCTCGATGTGATTTGATAGGTTTAATTACAAATGGGCCTAACCATTTAGTTTTGAGTTTGCCCGGAAATAACTTCAATCTAGAGTTGAACAATAACACTGATTGGCCGGGTTTGAAGCTCACAAGTTCAAGAAGCTGTAACTTCCTGTGTTTTCCAGCTACATTATCATCCAATTCCAGCTTCACTACTTGCTTTTTTTCCTCCTTCTTCAATTCTTCTTTTTACTTAACATTTCCAGAATGTTTGTCTCTTTGAGTTATTGCATCAATAACATCTTGATCCTCTTCATCTATGACCTTATCCAATTACACATAATCTAATACATCAATTCTAAAGCAATCTTTGTTGCCTTTTGGACACTTCATTGCTTCAAATACATTGAAACTCACTTCCTCATCTTGGACCCTCACCTTCAGCTTTCCTTCATCCATGTCAATGATAACTCGAGATGTTTTCATAAAGGGTCTGCCCAATATCAAAGGAACTTCTACATCCTCTTCCATATCCATGACTACGAAATCAACTGGAAACATGAACTTATCAACCTTCACTATCATATCTTTCACTATGCCATGTGGAAGCTTGATGGATCTATCTGCCAACTGCAAGGTCATTCTTGTAGGTCTCACTTCCACTTCTCCTATCTTCTTCAGCATGGATAAAGGCATCAAGTTAATACTGGCTCCAAGGTCTAATAGTGCCTTACCCACTGATAGATTACCAATTGACACTAGGAGAGTGAAACTGTCTAGATCTCTGGATTTCTTAGGTAGAGTATTTTGTATAATAGCAATGCAACTTGCCTCAAGCTCCACAGTCTCTTCTTCAAGAACTCTTCTCTTCTTAGTTAACAATTCCTTCATGAACCTAGCATAAGTAGGCATTTGCTATGGCTTCAGTGAAAGGAATATTTATCTGGAGCTTCTTGATGATGTCCAGAAACCTTGCAAATTGTCTTTCCTTCTCTTTCTTAGATGGGGCATGAGGGTAAGGTAAGTCTTTAATAGGAACAGTGGAAATGACTTCCTTGCCCTTCTTTTTATTTTTTTCCTTCTTTGCTCCATTCTTCTCTTTTATTTTCTCACTATCTACACCCTCATTTTTATTGCTTTCCTCCCTCATTCTTCTCAATCTCCTCCTTAACCTCCCTCAATTCAAAATTTTCTTTCTTTTCATTTTTCTCACTGACCCCAACATCACTACCTACCACCTTCCCATTTCTTGTTGTTATGGCTTGGCAATACTCCTTGGGGTTGGTCTTAGTGTTGGCTGAAAATGGGCCTTCAGACATGTCAGCTAATTGCTTAGCTAGCTGACCTACCTGTACTTCTAAATTCTTGATGGAAGCTTCAGTGTTTTTCTGATTGTTCATAGATACCTGCATGAACTGGTTCAGAGTCTCCTCCAATTTGTTGGTTCTTTCATGCATAGAAGGATAAGCAGGATGATGTTGTTGTGATTGTTGTGGTGGCCTATTGGATGGTCCAGCTTCATTCCCCATCCATATCCTTGGTTGTTGTTCTTGTTTCTCCAACCTTGATTTCCCTGCATATAATTGTTAGTATTATAATTACGGGAATTAAAATTACCTCCTTTTTGTTGGTTGCCCACATAGTTGACTTCTTCTCCATTTGAAGTTTTAGAACAATGACCATTGGGATGATCTCCCCCACAAAAATCACACTTTAAAGAAGAATGTGATTGAGTTGAAGAAGAAGCAATAACATGAAGCTGTTGTGGAATCTTGGCCATCTGCTTAGTCAGTGCTTCAATCTGTTGAGCCAATAACTTGTTGTGAGCAAGGATTGGATCATTAGTACTGAGATCAAGAACCCCTCTTTTATGAGATTGGTGTCTTCCATGCTCTGCTTGGTGATCAGAAGATGCCAAAGATTCTATGATTTGAGTAGCTTCTTCTGGGCTCACAGTCATCATGGTGCCACCAGCTGCTGCATCTAATAACATTTTCACCTCAGGCTTGATTCCATTAACAAAGAAATTGAGTTGAGCTATATCCTCAAACCCGTGATTAGGACATTTTCTGAGCAATGACTTAAACCTTTCCCAGGCTTCACAAAATGGTTCATCTACACCTTGCCTGAAAGTAGTGATTTCTGATTTGGCCTTAATATACTTGGATGAAGGATAGAATCTATTCACAAACTTGTTTTCCACATCACCTCATCTTGTCAAACTTTGATTTGGGTGAGATTGTAACCAAATTTTAGCTTTTCCTGTTAAAGAGAATGGAAATAACCTCAAGTATACAGCTTCCTCATCACCTTAGGAATTCCTATTGTTCCACATAACTCATAGAAATTTGAAAGATGTGAATATGGGTCCTCATGATCAAGGCCAGCAAATTGTTGTGAGCTAACCAAAGTAAGGAAAACAGGCTTCATCTCCACGGCTCTAGAAGTATTTGGAGCTGCAATGCTAGAGAAATGCCTAGGACCATGTTGTTGTGCATAATCACCTAGGGTCCTTCTAGGAGGCCTGGTTGGTCCATGTCCACCATTATGATTTCCTGTTCCGTCTTCAGCCATCTCGGATTCAAGGACTGGTTGATTTGATGAAGTAGAAGAACTTGGAAAATCCTGCTGTTATTTTTGGATTCTCTCCAATTGTCTAAGCCTTCTTGTTCTACTGTTGTTCCTCCTTGTCGTTCTTTCAATTTCAGGGTCAAAATGTAATTCCTCGGCTGGAGTTTTCCCTCGCATACAATTCGAAGAAGTTTGCACAGCAATGTGAGTCCACAAAACACAACTTTCTATTTTATATATGGTAAAAATACATATTATAAAAGAGATATATTATAAAGGGAATACTGGAGCATATAACCGCTTTTGATCTCTACTTTTTAATAGACTATTATACCCTCAAATATAAAAAAAAATTATATCTTCTTTGAATAACTATTAGTAACCTTCTAATATATTATCTGTGTATAATTATTAAATCCTTCTAATATTAATAAAGTAAGTATCTTTTTTCTTAATATAATCTATTACATACCTAAAATTAAGATTCAAATCTTGGAATTAAGCACATATCTTTAGACAATTTTATTTGACAAAAAATTGAAAATCAATGATGCTTTTTTTATTATAAAGATAATTGAAAATCAAATTATTTTATTTGTGTCTAGAAAAAAAAGGACCAGATTTCTAAACGGGGCACTGACTTTGAATTTTAAACAATATAAATTATCCTCCATTCAAGGGGGGAAAATATTAATTTAAGTCTTAATAAAATTAGGTGAAGCAAACTTAACTAATATTGATTTTTTTTTCTCCATCCTTTTATCTACACCTTATTATCACCATTATTAAAGCATAAGATACTACCAAAAGTAGGTTTGCAAACTTCAACATCTTCTGCTAGAAAAAATCAAACTGTAAAAGTAGTTCTTGTGGCATCATTATATCCACAGTATGGAGATAATTTGCGAACTATGTATCTGAATAAGCCAACAGTTAGTGGAGATATCATCCAAGTTTATCAGCCAAGTCATGAAGAACACCAAAAGTTCAATGATAATAAGCATAACATGAAGGCTTGGATGGAGATGTATCTATTAACTTTATCTGATATGTTGGTGACAACATCTCTCTCTAGTTTTGTCTACGTTGCTCAAGGATTAGGAAATTTGAAGCCATGGCTTCTTCACAAGCTAGTATCAATAAAGATATCTAATTCTTTCTTTGTTTATAATAATAATAATAAAAAAGGATAAGAACATCTACGAAAAGAATTAGAATTATTCTATTTATAACATATAAATAAGTTAGTGGCACAATTAATGATAACATTAATTTGGATTATGTTATATATATACAAGTAAGAAGAGTATATTATTAATTAATTTGAGACCAAACTTAGCGAAGAAGTACTAGGATTCAGTGAAGGGTGCAAAGATACATAGATGAGAATTTCTTGACATATCGCCACTAACGACAGCAATTCTTAGTGGAGAACCCAATAAAGTCTAGTCGCACGACCAATATTATGTTTGTTTATAGCTATTTCCACTTTTCAATGATCATTCAACGTCAATAAGTGAATTTGCATCAACGTGATTTAATGAGTTTACGAATACAAATACATCCCAAAGCAACACATGCCACAATTTTTTTTTACGAAGGACAACACAACTGTGAGTGTCATTTATTTACATCACCTATAAATTAGTGAAGAAATCCCACACTTGAGAATCAATTATGCAATGCACAAGCACAATTTTCAGTACCAATGTCATCTGAAAGGCATAAAGGCTTTCTCAGTCCATCCTTAAACCAAATTCGTCGTTTCTGAGTAAACACGTTAACGAAGGAGTTATCTAACATCTCAATGGTAACATATTGCATCAACACCACGTGTGCAATATTTTCTAAAGTTGAGTGCAAATCATGCATAAAAGACACTCAACACTATCTCATTTCCAAACTAGGACGTCTAAAGGCTACAAAAGTCTTAAAGGCTTATGGTGTTCTACCTTAGACTTCTAGCATACTAAATATTAGTAAGCAAATTTCTCTACTTCTCTTTTCATCTTAGGCCACTAGAACATCTTCTTAAGATCTTGATACATTTTAGTAGCTCACGTGCGAATACTAAAAGTACTCTTATGTCCTTTTTCTAAGATCATTCTCTGAATTCAGGATTACCAGGCACCCAAATTTTGTCCTTGCATCTCAAAACAACATTGATTCCTACTCGGAAAGGGTTATCTATACTCTTACCGATCTTCTCCACTTGGTTCACTTTGAAAGGATCTAACTCTCGGGCTTCTCTAATCTCATCTATTAATCTATTAGTCTCTTCCAACATACTCAATCCAATGCTCCTAAGGGTGAGGTCACACTCCAAGCTTAAGTTTCTAAACTCCTCAATCGAATCCAACCCTTAAATCATCAAAGATGATAGGTGAATGGTCATCCTACTCAAGGTATTTACTACAATATTAGTTTTACTTCTATAACCCTCTCCAAAGATCAAGTGCCTAAGCATAGGCTCATTAGGTACACATACTAGATCTCTAAATTTCACCACTCCATCTACACCCAAAGTAAATTTCCCTTCACTATCTTGTCCTACAACCTCACATTTTGCCACCAAAATTGAATTATCTAATTGTGTTTTTCCAATTTCCTTCAACAATCCACTAGTTAATCGAGTCATACCTAGTCTCACACTACTAGGGATAACCTCATGTCATTATAATTTATATTTATATTTTTTTAATAATATATCAATATATATTATATCTATAATATAAATAAAAATAATTTTTAATAATAAATATTATGTTATTATAGAATATATGTCACATTATATAATTTTTTTTTTAGTAGTGATTGAGACATGAGATTTTCTTTTCATTTGCTTGACATTAGAAATCACGTATCTTTCAATTACTAGCTTGTCTTCAAAGAGGGAGAAAAACATTAGTGCTTATTGATTAAATTTAAATTAAGGTGGGTTAGAAGTTTCAAAACGGGTGAGTTGAGAATCTACGTAGTTAGATTTGAATACTTTGTAGGAATCTGCCGGTCAACACCGCATCACTTACTCTATATATTGTGTTGGTTATCAATTATCATAAGAAAGAATTTGTTACTCCACTCACTCGTTGACTTTCCCTATGGACTAAGAATCTGACCTCAATTATCATAATAAGAAATAAGAATGGTTACTCCACTCACTCATTGACTTTTTCTATGGACTAAGAATTGAGTCAAGGATTCTTTAATTCTTTCTTACTACGAAAGATAATCTAGTTATTTGTTATCAAGTATATAAGTCTTATCCTAATATATTTTTCATCCTACTTATTCTGTTTCATTTTTAAATACTTAATTCTGTTCCTTTCTTTATATTCAACATGGTACATATGATCATGTGCAACTCAATTCACTGTCCTTATTGATCATCTAAATTCTAATCAATTGATTTCAACATATACTGTATTAGTGTTCTTCTTATGTAGGAAACAACTGCCAGGAACAAAATTCTATTATATTATATGTCATTATAATTTATATTTATATTTTTTTAATAATATATCAATATATATTATATCTATAATATAAATAAAAATAATTTTTAATAATAAATATTATGTTATTATAGAATATATGTCACATTATATAATTTTTTTTTTAGTAGTGATTGAGACATGAGATTTTCTTTTCATTTGCTTGACATTAGAAATCACGTATCTTTCAATTACTAGCTTGTCTTCAAAGAGGGAGAAAAACATTAGTGCTTATTGATTAAATTTAAATTAAGGTGGGTTAGAAGTTTCAAAACGGGTGAGTTGAGAATCTACGTAGTTAGATTTGAATACTTTGTAGGAATCTGCCGGTCAACACCGCATCACTTACTCTATATATTGTGTTGGTTATCAATTATCATAAGAAAGAATTTGTTACTCCACTCACTCGTTGACTTTCCCTATGGACTAAGAATCTGACCTCAATTATCATAATAAGAAATAAGAATGGTTACTCCACTCACTCATTGACTTTTTCTATGGACTAAGAATTGAGTCAAGGATTCTTTAATTCTTTCTTACTACGAAAGATAATCTAGTTATTTGTTATCAAGTATATAAGTCTTATCCTAATATATTTTTCATCCTACTTATTCTGTTTCATTTTTAAATACTTAATTCTGTTCCTTTCTTTATATTCAACATGGTACATATGATCATGTGCAACTCAATTCACTGTCCTTATTGATCATCTAAATTCTAATCAATTGATTTCAACATATACTGTATTAGTGTTCTTCTTATGTAGGAAACAACTGCCAGGAACAAAATTCTATTATTGAAACAAAATTTGAATATATGTTAGCCAAAAGGCGCAAACGACCAGATCACATGCTTAAAGTTATTGAAGTGCTTTATTTCATTCAGACAAACATCACATATATATGTTTAAATTAGTTTATAGATTCCCAATCATGATATTGAATTGTGCATTGAACAAGCACAATTTCGAGAACCAATGTCGTTTGCAATGCATAGCGGTTGAAACCGTCGATCCTTGAACCAAATGGATCGTTTTTGAAGAAATTCACTGACAAAGGAGTCCAACATTTGAATGGTAACATGCTGCATCACCACCACATGTGCAATATTTCCATTGCATGCCAAACTCCACCTACGGCTAAACTCATCATCTAGAGGCCTCTCAAAGATCACAATATTGCTAAACTCGTTTAACATTGCGCCAATTCCAGCATCTCGTAGACGATTTTGTAAATAAACTGCATTCATTATGCAGTTTTGCACTTCGTTTTGGAGTCCTATCAAGCCTCTTCTTTTTAAGGCATACCAAAGGAAGATTGGAGCATGCCCGCAACGGCTGCCTGTGATTGTGGCATCCCTTGAACCAATGTATTCAACATCTTTGGATAATGCACTGATGTATTCTAAACGAGTTATTAAAACACCACAAGGAATGGGGCATCCCAAGAACTTGTGCCCAGAAATAGTTACACTTCCAATGGGTTTTTTGAAGGTGATTCTTGGTGCCTGTGAAAATAACCCACACAATATTTTAGATGAAATCATAATTAATTTAAAACTGCTTGAATCCTTTATAGATAATATTGTAGAAAAATAGATAGATTTACACATATGCAACACCAATAAAATACTAGTTTTAAATGTATTTTTAGTTCTTTTAAAATAAATAAATTTTTATTTTGATTTTTGCAAAAAAAATTTATTTTTTATCTCTCTTAAATTTAGAATTATTAGTTTTAGTCCATATTATTATGTATTTGTTTTAATTACTTATTTATTTATTAAAAATTAAATGATTATTTCATATGTTATTCAAAACTGTTAACGATATAATATTAGTGTGTGATATTTCAAAAGAAAATATATAAGTCCTTAAAATAAATATTTTTATTTACTTTCAAATTATTGTTAAGAATAAAAAAATAGTAAATTTAGATTTTAAAAGAATAAAAAATAAAAAATAAATATCATATAGGATCCAAAACCAAAATTTATTCATTTTATAAAAATAAAAAAAATATCTTAAAAAGGCACAAAATAATATTTAAAAATTTAAGAAAGATGAAAAATAACTTTTTTTACATAAACAAAAAACAAAACTAGCTGATTTTTTCAAAAAAATAAAAACATATTTAAACCAAAATACTAATTACAAGATCCTAAACATTAATTATACTCAATTAAAGATATCACCTTTTAAACTTGTCAACTAAAAAATTTCACATTTGTTATGTTAATTTAAACTTTTTTATAAATACTTTTAAGGAAAAAATTGTAAACTAATTAAAACTTGTTAAGCATAAGTCAATATATTTTTTTTTTGTTGAAAAATTTAGTATTATAAAGTAGCTTATGTATAGCCTATGAAATTTTTATTTATTTTTATTTTTCTATCCTAAAAATACTATTAAAAAAATTATCAAGAAAAAACATTTTATCTTATAATCAATTACATTCATGTGAAAATACTCTGAGCTATGTTAAATTTTACCAAGTTTGACTTTGTTTTACTTCTCAAATTTATATGGCTTGATCTTGACCTGTCCACTTAATCTATATATGTCTATTTTAAGTTAGATTCAGCCATTTGAAAAATTTGGTATAATCTTAAAGTCTATCTTATGTCTTTTAAATAAATTATAAAAACCACACATTTAACTATAAATAGGTGTGTAAAATATTTTATGTCAAAAACAGAGAGCTCTGTTAGGGTTTTGGAGTCTTTTGGGTTACATGAGGATAACCCTCGGCCTAGAAGCACCAAGAAGGTCAAAATGTTATATGTCATTATAATTTATATTTATATTTTTTTAATAATATATCAATATATATTATATCTATAATATAAATAAAAATAATTTTTAATAATAAATATTATGTTATTATAGAATATATGTCACATTATATAATTTTTTTTTTAGTAGTGATTGAGACATGAGACCGTCAAAAATTTCAGACGGATATAAATCCGTGGGAAATTCTGTCAGAAATTTCCCATGGATTTAAATCCGTGGGAAATTCCGTCAGAAATTTCCCACGGATTTAAATCCGTCGGAAAATCCGTCGGAAATTCCTTCATGTAAAAATCCGTCGGGATTTTGGTCCGTGGGAAATAATCCGTGGGAAATTTGACTTTTTCTTGTAGTGAAGTGAAGATAAATGTAGAGGTTTCCTACTCAAAGCATCGACCACCACATTGGCTTTTCCTAGATAACAACTAAGATCAAAATCTTAGTCCTTAAGAAATTCCAACTATCCCTTTGTCTCATATTCAACTCCTTCTAGTCAAAAGATATTTAAGGCTTTTATGATCACTAAATACCTCAAGCTTAGAACCATATAGGTAGTGTCTCCAAATCTTAGTGTAAATAGCACAACTGCTAACTCAAGGTCATGGGTAAGGTAATTTCTCTCATAAATGTTCAATTGCCTAGGAACATAAGTTATTACCTTTCTTTCTTGCATCAACACTCCACCCAAACCCATCTTAGAAGCATCACAATACCACAAAAGACTTACTAAGATTAGACAACATTAACAATGTGCACTAGTCAATCTTTCCTTAACAATTTGAAAACTACTCTTACACTTAATATCTCATACAAGGACAACTCTCTTCCTGGTCAATCCAGTCAAATCTAATGTTATCTTAGAAATTTCTTCGATAAATCTCCTGTAATAATAAGCTCACCCAATAAAACTCCTAAGCTCACTAACTAACTTTGGTATCTCCCATTTAAGCACAACTTTTATCTTAGATAGATCTACATTATATCTCCAGTAAAAATTATAGGACCTAGAAAACTCACCTCCTACAACCAAAAGTCATACTTAGATAACTTAGCATAAATTTGTCTTGAATATATCCTCACCCTCAATTCCAATATGATAATATCACACCCTAAGGTCAATCTTGCTAAACACACAAACACCCATTAATTGATCCATAAGGTCATCTATTCTCATATCAATATACATGCATATGAAATCATATTATAATACTTATTTTAAACATTTATATATACCATCCCTAAGCATTTATGAATCAATTACCATTTACACCATATAACATGTACATGAACCAACTTTACCACATAGTACCATACAACCTTAAACAACCTTTCAATCCACATGATAACACCTTAAAACATCATAACAAAATCAATTTTCATCCTTGCATTTCCTAACAACTCAAAAACATCATGAAAGCATACATCTCCCTTCAACAATTGTCAAAGAAAATAACACATAGAGAGTTGTACTCATCCAAATAAGCTCAAACATATCTCAAAGGAAAGCTAAGAGAATAATCTACAACTCTTATAAAGACATGAAATTATAAAAAGATCATCTACTTAGCTAAAAATTTCAAAAACTGTAACAAATATAATCAACACTAAAAGCTAGATCTTTCATCACTAAAACAACTATAATTGGAGTTCTAGACCCCCGTTTTACCTGATTTTGGTGCCATTGGAAAGATAACATCCAAGGATACAACTTTCATGAAGACCACAAAATCTAATTCTATCAATATAGCACTCGTATTGGCGCGACAAAACTGCAGCGAAAACATCCCTTGCACTAGATAGCAAAAGAATGCACCAAAGTCCAAGACCACAAAAATACCTTAAAACACTTTCAAACTCACTCCTTTCCATCCTAAATTCATACCAAGCTTCCCACTACGATCCTAACCCAAAATAACTCACATATTCAATACAAAAGACTTAAAACTGCACTAAAACCCACGTATAACCTAAACCATAAAAAAGTCAACATGCAAGCATCAAAACTCACGAAATCACCAATACTTCAGGCTTTCATCAAGAACACTCAAAACTTCAATTTTCAACATGCAACCTCTTTGGGTTCAATCTATACAACTATAGATTTTGAAAATTCCATTCACAATAAATTTTAATACATTCAACAGATCAATGTTTCAACCACATCCAAGATTCTAATAGTTCTAGTTGATTAGCACAATGCTTTGTCAACTACTACCCGTACACATGCTCGCAACACGAGCGATACCACCTAAACACTATTTCTTACGTAAGTAAAAAGTATCAAAACAATTAAGCAATCATGAGAATGAAGAAAAGTAATCATAAATAGCATCAATTAAGCTATATCATGTCTACCAGCCATATATTGAGAAAAGAACACATACTTAAACAGATCATTAATAACACAAAGCAAAACATCATCAGAGTACACAATAGAATCATAATGAACACATAACACACAAGTTCGATTTGAATCAACCAGGCTCTGATACTACTAAATGTGACACCCTCTACCCCACACATAAATATACAATTATATAAAATAATAAGAGTAAATAGAAATCTTTGTAATTAGAACAACATCTCAAATAGCATAAGGGTAAAAGACTCACATTCACATCTTAAAACATTTCATAATGAAGTAATTCAATTATCAAAATAACCTAAGTAAATACACAACTTAATTATAATCAATAAACGAAATAACATAAGTAATCCAACAAAGTAATAAAAGACATCTTATTCTATCCCTTGGTGTCACATGTCCTAATCAAAGCACACCCAATACAAAAGCCTAAGTTTCATCATTAACATCCCCCTCCTGATGATCACCTACAATATAATTTTAAACATACACAAACAAATAGGGGAGTGAGAAACATCTCAATCGAATTCAGGTGCAAAAATAACTGTCAAATAAAACACACAGAAAGCAATCACAAACAACACATACAAGCCATACATAAAACAGTAACACATGCACAATCACTTATCATGCAATGATACCATGGACTCGACTCATAAATGCATGCATGTGACGCCAGTTACATATCATGTGATATGTTGTTGAAGTAACATACCTGGAGTAGTCTAGGGGAACATGCTGACTCAATTGTGCAATCTCCACTAGAAAAATGTACTGCTAGTGTTTTATTGAGATAGTCAAACTGCACAAGATACGTCCTATGGACACAAACAAGTAGAACTGGACCTTTCAAACTGAACTATTCCCTATGACTCCTTTCAAATAACTAAATAATATTAAAAATAATATATTTTTATATAAAAAAAATAAAACTAGTATCAAATAGCTAAATAATCTTAAAAATCCTTCTAAGAAACACATTAAAATAATAAAATAAATATTACCATATTTTTAATATAATTTTATAAAAATCAGGGTGTTACATGGACCACTTGTTTAGCTACTTCACATGACTAAGCCAATTTAAGAAAATATAAACTGATCAACATATTCGTAAAAGAAATGTTATTAATTTTTATATAAAAAGATAAGTATGAAATACAATAAACAGGGTAATAAAATATCTAATGAAAAAAGATAGATATATAAAATGCAATATATATCGAATAAATAATTGTATTGGTTATCATATGAATAACACAACTCAAATATTAAAATGAAGCTGAAACCAAAGGTTGGTCAGATTATCGAGTTGAGCAAAAGTAGTCAAACATGAAAGATTCCAAAAGCTTCCTTCAATCCTATTGGCTTAACAGTTAACAATGCGATTTTGAAGATTGAATGTTAAACAAAATAATAAATAAATAATAGGATAAACCTAGAATTTGTTTAACAAATCAGTTTGACGAGTCTTGAGTCCCGCATAAGTTGAGGTACAGCTACGGACTTGGATCTCTACAGTCTCTTTCCTCCATCTTTTCTTTATTAATTTCTTCGTTCTCTCTCGGTTTTTGCTTTTGATTTTTTTGCTGTAGAGAGAGCACAGGAGCAGGTGATCCACCTTGGTACAGCTACACCCTTTGGTCATGATTATTGTTGCATTGCTGAAGTCTTGTATTCCATTTCCCTCGTTGTTGAATGAGTTTCTCACCATACTGTGTCCAAAAGTTCGCCTTTCTGAAACACATAAACAATCATGTTCAGACAATGCCTTCAGTATATAGAGGAAACTTCAAGCAAAATTATAAATTTCACGGTTCAAGAATTCTGATTCTCGTGTTTATGCAACTATCTAAACTGCAACACAATTAATATTGAGCAATGTTTAAAAATGCTGAATCACATAATAAAATCATACTACCTCATTTCCATATATACATCTTTATTAGATGTTTAATATAGATTAAGAAATATTTAATGCATAGCAATTTCAAATAAATTTTTTTATTTAATATCTCATTAATAGTAATAAATTATATTTATCTCAACTATTTCCAATAATAATAGGAGTATATATAATAGAGAAAAAAAAATTAATAAAATTTTGAAATTATAAAACATCTATTGCTTTGAGAATTGAGATAATACAAGAAATCTAAAGCATTCAAAGACATGAAAATGCAGTATTAATTTATATCAGTAAAATTTTAGCAGAAGTAAATAGAACACAGCAGAAGAAACTATCATGCATGACTATTATTACTTTATTAGCATAGAAGAGGGGGAAAAACAAATAATTTCAAATAAGTGAAAAGATGATTCCACAGCACAAACAACTCAAGCTTCTTTGCTGATATAGAGGAAGAAACTATCACACAAATTCTTCTATTCCACAGGTCTTATATAGCGTGTGTAGCAACATGCATTTTCAAGTATACGTTGTTCGTAAAAGAAAAGATTTAGTATAGCTGAAGTTAGCATCCAAAATTAGGGTGATCACACGACAGATCCACTAGGTTACTTTCAATCCTGATTTAATAGTTTTTATTAAATATTTTTATGTTTTCATACAAGAAAATATTCTAATAAGTTGCTCTTTTCATCAATTTTACCTTTTTTTCTTATCATGCATTAAAATTTTATGAGAGGTAAAGATATTATCTTATATCAAGATTTATGCACCAATAATAATGATAAATATCAACTGGATAGAATTTAAGAAATGAAAAAGAAAAACACATATTCTCACAATTTTTAATAAGAATAATCAACTAAAAAGTAATTAATACTTTCAAGAAACTTAAAGATACCTTATAGAAAGGACTAAAACTTATTCTAAACTATACCTTATAATAAGGAGATAAGGGAGTATATGAGAAGTTTCAACGATCCTTCTCACCTCTCCTTAGTGCAAAAGTAAATAAGAAGATAAACAAAGCATTATTGGGTTTAATAAGCAAAACTCCATAGGATTTAGTCTAAGATAAGAGATTGAAGAGTCTAAGTTGAAGGTTGAAAGAGAGTACTTACTAGTGAATTCTTTGATTCAATAAAGAGAGCACTAGCATTAAAGAGTGAATTCTTAATTACTGATCAAACTTTGATCGGCACAAAACAACTGTAAATCTGTGGAGAGAGCCTGAATGAAATATAAAAAAAGTAATTAGTATTCCTTACACAAAGTGACAGTTTTCAAAATGAAATAGAGAAATAATTAACAGCATCGAGGATGACTTAAATATATAAGAAGTTATGAAATAAAAAAAAGAAATCTAATAATAACATTACTGCTAAGTACCTTTTGTAACTCCTCAAAGATAGCAATCAAATGGGGACTAACTTCTTTTGAACCTGTATTTAACTAGAAACTTAGAGGCCAAATCCTAAAGAACCTGCAAAAGCCAATTTAAACTAAAGTAAATTACAAAATTTTGTCAAGATCAAAATATAAGAGTTGAGCAATGAGTTGTGGAACCTACAATGATTTGTCAATTTGGCACAAATAGTCCCAGCTTGTGTCCTTTGAATAAATTGTCTGTTGTTCAAATCTTGTGAACATTAATAGTTCCTGATAAAGATTAACCATTGCTCTTGTCAATAGATACTACGTATGAATACTACATAATTAAAAAAAAATATGGTACTTTAAAATTCATATCTAACCATGTTGCATAATAAAGATGTGATATCTTATTATCTGTTTGGCTTTTAACAAATTGTTGATTATTGTAAACTCTAAACTCCAACAATAACATGGAAAACGAAATGCCAATTCATATAGTCATGTATAACTAGTCCTCATAGAATGCAATTGTCTTGAGCATTCATGATCTCATTTTCCTTTAATTCCCAAGCATCAAAAGAGTTATTCTAGTGATCTAGTCCTATTGAAGAATAGAATATATAGCAGGGAAATCATCGGGACTAGTTTAGGCTCCTGAGGAGTGACTTGCACATTAAAGTTGATATTTCTTTACAATAAACAAAACCTAAATTTATGGTAGCTAGTTGCTACTCCGTCAATTGAGAAGGGTAGGAATCTATAAGAAAGAATATAAAATCAATTCTCTAACAATTTTAATATTGAGTAATTTTTTTTATTAATTTTCTAATTCATTGTTAATTCCATCAATTTCTCAACCGTTCAAAATTAACGTAAATTAGTAATCTAGTATTCAATAAATTCAACCCATAATATTATCACTACAGTAATAATTGGTACAGTTAACAACGTGCAACAAAAACCAATTATGATTTGGGTATAATCACATTTATAAGTAATTATTAAATAATTATGGTTAAGTTATTCTTTATCAACCCTAAGTCACAGCAGAACATTATGTGAAACTCCTTCTTAGATCTTTAAACTTAAATAACATAATAAAGATATGAAATATAAAAAAAATCATAAATATTTATGTTGAAGCTAAAAATGTTTTAAACATATTCTTAATGCTATGCTACATGATGAAGAAAAATAAATGAGATCCAAAGGAGATGATATGGGGTTAATGAAATAAAGCCTCTTAGGAAAATTAGGGTCTTGAGGCAATCTATTGACCAAAATTCAACAATTAGCATCTTTAATGACAGCACGAAGATAACCAATCATATATAACTGAAATAAAAAGGTCGACAAGGGTATATATATGAGGTATTACGTTCATAGAGTTGAATGCTTAGTCTTTGCAGGAACAGCATCGGTTGTGAAGATTTGATTAGAATATTGTAGCCGGTACTGAAAACAAAATATTGATGTTGAGATCCATTTGAAATAGAAAAGGTGATATGAGCAGTATAAACATATATAAAAAATGATATAGGTAAACTTACGAAAACAATTAGAGGTGACCAGAATTGAATCTGGTGCAGGACAAAGACAGAGATGTTGGCGATCGAACGGTGATGATTCCGCTTGAAGGCGTTTGTTGATCTATGGTTGGGATGACCAGTAGGGCAACAAGTGGAAGGGCTCCGAGCAAGAAATAGAAAAGTGGGAAACACACATATATATACTAATACCAATACCATCACCGTCATCATCATGAAGCATGCAACATCCTCTAGTAATTATGATTGTGGCATTGCGGAAGATCTGGGTTCCGTTACCCTTGTTGTTGAATGAGCTCGTTATCGCACCACCCACTCCCACTCCGCTCCTATCGTAGACATCAAACCCCATCAAATTAGCAACAAAGGACAGTGCTTTTAATGCAAAATATCTCATCAGCATCATCATTTTCCCCCTTTCTTTCCGTTTCGGAGCAGGACAGATCTTTGATGAATTAGTGATAAGAGAGGAAAAGACTTGTGTTTAATATATATATATATATATATATGGTGAGACAAAAAGAAACAAGTGATTGCTAAAACTCTGGGCTTTTTCTGTATTTATACTCAAAATCAGGGAATCATCTAGAAGGATCTACCAGCTTCCTCAATACATTTTAATATAATAGTGTAAGAAAAATAAATTTAATTTTAATTATGATTTTTTTTATTAAACACATAATAAATAATGTTGTCCGATCTCAATACATTTTCATTATTTATAAATTTTAACTAATATTAAAATTTTTAGCCCCTTTTCTATTAAGTCTCTCATCCGTCTACCTACCATAGCTGCATAGCATACTTTACTTTGCATGTGACTATTCTCATTTCTTAATCCCGAAGTTTGAATGTTGGGACCATTATTTTTCAAAATCTAGTGTTCAGATATTGACCCGAATTTCTCAAATGTTTTTTTTTTAATTTTTTTAATTCTAGTTTTTAAATTTAATTTAATTGTGGAAGATAATTAATAATTAGTGAATTAAATTATTATTTTATAATTAAAATTGTTATTTTGAAGAGTTTAAGAATTATATTTTTTAAAAAAACATCATGACTTATCCATTTAGAAATAACTTTTTAAAATTAATTTAATAAAAAATGTGATGATAATTAAGTAGTTAGTGAATAATCAGATAAATTTTTGATAATTAGCACTATAATTAAAATTATTTATGATCAAATAACATTAATTAAATTGAAAAGTGATGACAAAATTTTATTTGATTAACATTTAAAATTAAAATTACATGTTAATAAAAATGATTAGTCATCATAATGTTCTATATGGTAGACATCATTGTTATATATGGGATTTTGAGGTAGCTGTCTATGTTGTTAATGCACATCTCTATGAGAATTTAAATTGATCGAAAAGGGAGACAATAACCGATACTTTAAACAATCAATACTATAAAAAGACTACGTATCTCTTGTTGGTAAATTGGTGGAACAACAATTAAATACATACTTTAGAGATATGCTTTGACTGAAATTGACAACCTGATGTTCGTACCAAACAAGTTGTTAATAAACTTGGCTTTCATAGAAGACACAAAAGAACTTATGTTATTGTCCAAATTATTTGTTGACAGTAGTTATAATGGATTCACTAGTAGAAAAAGGAGCTACTATGCCTCTTCATTTACGTCGGAAACTAGTACACCCGACGTTGTAAAAATGCGGTGGCAGTTCTGTAAATAAGAGGAGGAAATTTACGTCGGACATCGATGGGTCCGACGTAAATAACTCCTTAAATGAAGAGCGCGCACTACAGATTTCAAATCATGGCATTCTTCTTCACCTTTACGTTCTCCCGCGCGTTGTGGATTCTTCTTCATCCCTCCGCCTCCTCCTCAAATCGTGGTTGTCTTCCTCATCTTCACATTTTTCTATTTTTCTTCTTCGGAGTTGCGTTGTTTCTTCTTCGCGTGTTGATGGAAATGGCTTAATCATACATCCATCTGTTTTTCTATGAGGTAGTGATCACTCCTTAACCGATGTTTGTGTTTTCTGGGATGTATTTTTCGTAATAATGTTTGTGTTGCATTTCGTGTTTGTGAAGCTGCAGAAGGAAGTGACCACTGCCTGGGTCTATCAAGCAGAACGGGACGTTCTCCAAGGAGAACGGGCTGTTCTCCAAGGAGAATGGGCCGTTCTCCAAGCAGAACGGGCCATTCTGCTTGCACTCGTTTTTCTTTTTTTTATTTATTTAAATTTTCATGACTTTTTTACGTCTGACCTTGACATGTCCGACGTAAATTTACGTCGGTTTTTGACCCCCGACGTAAATTTTACGTCTCCCGTATTGATGTCTGATGCTTTTCCGACGTAAAAGGCTTCAAATACCCAACGTAAAAGGGGTCTTTTGTACTAGTGATTGAATGTAAATGACAAATGAAACAAAGAATAATATAATGGTTCATTATCTTAGTCATGCACTATGTCGACAATGTGAGGCTTGATTGTCTAATTGTAATTTTGCCTTTGTGCAAGACGTTCAGTATTGTGTCCAATTCTTAAATCATGTAATTACTATTGGGCAAATAAAAAAATGAATAGAATTAATACAATATTACTCCATGTATTGACGTTTATGCATAAGAAGACTTTTATTATTTTTTCTTAATATATATAATCATTAAATCATACTGTTCTTACCGGAAATCTGCCGTAGAGGTGATTCTCCAGGTAAGATCGGTGAGCCTTTTTCACGGGTACGTTGGTGTTCCAAGATGGGGGTGGTACTTGCAAAAGAGACTCCGATGCTAAAGTTAGTGTTTGTGGGAGTATGAGTCTCGTATAAATAATGCACGTACCTTTGTGTGAATTAGGGTTGTGTTGGGCCTTGGGCCTGAGATTTGTTATGATCTGATTAGATAGTAGATCTCGTCTGGAGCGAGATCCCCGAGATCAGTTATGATCTGATTAGATTGTGGATCTCATCTTGAGCGAGATCTCCGAGATCAGTTATGGTCTGATTAGATTGCGGATCTCATCTGGAGCGAGATCCCCGAGATCAGTTATGATCTGATTAGATTGCGGATCTCATCTGGAGCGAGATCTCCGAGATCAGTTATGATCTGATTAGATTGCGGATCTCGCTTAAGCCGAGATCTCCCAGTGCGTGCCCGAGGTTATTCCACACTGTGATACCGAGCTCGAACTCGGCATGGCAGTACGGATAGTACACCTACAAAATAAAAAATTTAATCAGAAAATAATAATTTTAATAACTAATTATCTAATTATTGTCACAAACTAAATTAAATTGTTTTTAACAAAATTTTATTTTTAAATTTATAAATCAGATTAACTTTTAAATTATAATCCTCATATTCTACAAAATAATAACATTCACTAATTATTTAATTATCTTTCACAAATTAAATTAATTTAAAAAAATGACATTTATAAAGTATAATTAAAAATTAAAATATAAAAAAATAATAAAAGTTACTTTGAAAAATTCGGATAGTCAATCTCAATTTCTCAACAACAAATTTTGAAAAACAATTTTCTCAATATTCAAAAAACAGGATTGGAAGGTAAGAAAGTCACAAACTTTGTAAAATGTTAATTAATTATATATATATATATATATAATGAGTGGTAAAACACTCACTTAAAAATTATTTTAACTCCATATTAAAAAACAACATAACAACGACAGTGAGTCCATGGGTTACGGCGTTTCCGACCCAACAGATCAAGCAAGATGACAAACAGGACAACTGCTTGCTACACTATACAACTTTATCAAATTCTCTACCATGAGGATATGACGGGACACCTTTTTTTTCATTTAAATTATATAAAATTACTCTTAAGCCTTTTTTTTAAATATTTAACTTAAAAAACTTTTTTTTTACTTATTCATTAACATCGTACTCACCACACATAATCTTTTCATTTCACACATGATTACAGGCAATCCTGGTACACGGATTGTATTACTAAAAAAATAAAAAATGATAATATAATTATAAATATAATACAATATAATTTATAAATTCACTAACATAATTTTTTTTTTGTGTATGGTGCAGTAAAATAGTAACCGGTTATAGAAATTAAATAATTAATTATATTTTTATTTAATAAATATAAAATAACATATAAATTCAAGAGAATTTAAACATCATTAAATTTAAAAAATAGTTAACTTGAATAGTAATATTATTATATAACAAAAGTTAAATATCTTAGCGATTTTAATAATAATTTTCAAATAATGAAGGTCATTTCAAATGATGTATAACAGGTTTTATGTTTTTATTTCGTTTTCAATTTAACAGGTTTTATAAAGTTTTAATTTATAGACCTAATGACCAATAACGTCGTAAAATGAGTTTTAGCGGTCGGGAAATTTACCATGAAACACACATAAACTAAAATTATTTAGACATATTTTTAACAATACTTGAAATAAAAGTAATATTGATGTGACATAAACTAAAATTATTTAGACATATTATTTAGACATATTTTTAACTACTTTTAAAATTACGTTTTTAAACAAATTAGAGAAAAAATACGTTTATAAATACAAAATAATAATTAACTGTTAATATAAAATATAGAAATTTTAAAATAAATTAAGTTAAAAATTAAAACAAAAAAAATTAGTGGCGCTATGGCCTATAGCGACACTGTGTCGCTATGTGTCGCTATAGGCCATAGCGCCACTAATTTTTTTTGTTTTAATTTTTAACTTAATTTATTTTAAAATTTCTATATTTTATATTAACAGTTAATTATTATTTTGTATTTATAAACGTATTTTTTCTCTAATTTGTTTAAAAACGTAATTTTAAAATATATATTTTAAAATTACGTTTTTAAACAACTTATTTTTATTTTTTTAAATATTTAATAAATAAGTCAGTTTATTAATTTTATCTTACATTTCTATTATTTTTCATTTTTTTCTTTTTTTTTGTTAGAGGGTGTCGCTATGGGCTGCATCATTTTTCTTAGTGCATCAGCTATGGTGGTCCAGCCCACAGCGACACTCATGTGGCTCATTCCAGCTCATTCTAGACCAAAAAAAAAATTTGCCACGTGGCATGGGTGTCGCTATGGGCCATAGTAACACCGTTGTAAACAACCCCAAAGACGTAAATACTTTCAAAAGAACCCATTTACGTAAATAACTTGGTCAACGACCCACTTTGGTCAAAAAGCCTAATATTGATGTGAACCCTAGCTCTTAGGATGATTTAGGTCGTAAGCCAATCTGTTGACCAATGACAAAACAAAAGAATATTTTGCAGTGGATAAAGCAAGAGTTGATTATAGGAAGTGGTTTCAATAAGAGCACCTCCAACGGGAGGTGCTTCCTGTGTTGCTTAAGAATAAGCAACGGAGCTTATAGAAAACTCCCATTGGAGTGGTCCTACATGGCAAGTCAGGTGCTTAAATTTTTTTCTCAATTGCTTGTACAAGATACGGTGCTTAGCACTGAAAAATTTGAAGAAGAGAAGTTTGATTGGTTGAATCTAGTCCACGTGGAATATGGACACAAACTTGGAAAATAAAAAAAAAACGGGAAAAACATTCTTCACCTCTTCTTCCTCCGTCCGGGGAGGGATGTCTTCGCCGGCCTCCGCATGACCAGAACGCTCGGCCCGCATGACCGTCTCCTCTACGCGCAGCTCCACACAACCAGACCTGCCGGCCCGCGCGAACCGCCCGATCAAACCCCTCCGCCCAGCGCACCAAGACCCCCAGCCTGCACGCGACCCCTCCGCGCGGCCGTTTCCTCTGTGCGCTCCGCACCCAGACTCCTGCGCACAACCAAAACCACCGTGAAGAGAGAGTGAAGAAAAAGACAGAAGAGAAAGAAAGGGTGAAAAGTGAGTGAAATGAAAGAAAACGTGAGGGAGAGATGTGATTTTTTATATTTTTTTATGTATTATGTAATTTTTTATATTTTTTTTTATATTATGTAATTTTTCTTATTATTGTAATTTTTGGTATTTTTTTTATTATTTAATTTTTGGTATTTTTTTATTATAATTTTTTGTATTTTTTATTATGTAATTTTTTTATTATTGAAAATTTTTATTATTATAATTTTTGATTTGTTAGTTATTCATATTTACATATTATTTATAATAATTAATTTTATAAAAGTTTATTATAAAGTGTAGTGTGAGGTGTCAAAAAAGTGTAGTATGAGTTGTAAAAAAGTAAGAGTGCTTATAAGCAATTTCTATTGGAGTAAAAATTATAAAAATATAGTATGAGTTGCTTATGAGTGACATGACACAGTAAGACCCATTTAAAGTGGGTGAGAGTTACTTATAAGCAACTCCAGATGCTCTAAGATTTGCAGGAGGAAGCATTTATGACACGCAACCTCACATGGGAAAAGCGAAGATAAGTAAATATGTCATTATATGAATAGGAGAAGTAGGGTACGAGGTATTTCTGTCAAACTTTGATCCTGCATCTATTTATTATTATTATTATATATTATGTACAATTAGACTTGAATGCTTCAGGTCTTTGCCGTGAGAGAATATGTGAAGATTCCATCAGAATATTCTACCGAGGCCGGTTCAAACATTATGCATGTGCGGGACGATATAATACGTAAAGCGATGCAATACATAAAGAGAATTGCTTCATCGGTGGAAGAAAAGTTCCGAATTAGCATCTGAATGTATAAAATATGAAAATAAAATTTTAATTACTTGTTTTATTTTTATTTATATTTTATATTTTAATAATTTATTTGTATAAAATTTTCTATATTTTCTATATTTTTAATTTATATCTTAATGTAGCATCTATTATAATTAAAAAGTTTAATATTAATATTTTGTTAATATATTTTAGTTTTTTCTTTAGTGATAATTTTTTTAAATTTATAGTATAAATTAGTTTTTTAATTGTATTATTTATTTTTTTATTTTAATGTTTTTATAATATTATTATAATTTTTTGTTTTTAAATTTTTAATTGGTCACATATAAACAAAATTTGTTATAAAAATTTACCTTTTGATTATTTTGTTTTGAATTAATCTTTTTAATTGATTTATTTTATACAAATTTTTAATCTAAAATTTATGTTATTTTAAATTTATTTTTTAAAATTTATTTATTCATATAATTTGATGTACCAAAATCTTTCAGTTTTCATAGATATTATAATAGTTCTCATAAAATATTTATATTTTTTTAATAAATTTATTATAAAATAATTATTTAATTTAATATTTTATAATTTTTTTTTAAGTTTCGGAATATGTTTCAGAACATATTTCGGAAGGTGTAGAATTTTTCATACATAAAGCACTTTTATATATTATATTTTAAATTTATGTTTAACATCACAAAGTAATTTTTGGCAATCAGAAATTTATCATGAAATATATTTGGAAAAAAATTCAAGTCTCACATCGACTAGAGATTAGACAATTAAATAGTATATAAGTGGAAAACAACCTGACCCTCACCTTACAATTCAGTTTTGTAGGGTTAAGTTATGCTTAATATACTATTTTAAGATGGTATCAGAGTTATCCTAGACTCTTAAAAATGGGCTACCCACCATTGCTACATGCATCATGGGCATGAGATAGTGTATTCAAGTCCTGTCAATCCTAGATCATTAAAAAAAAGTCACCTACCATTTATCCACGTACCAAGCCTAATAGTGCTGGACGTGAGGGGAGTGTATTGAGAAAAATTCAAGTCCTACACCGACTAGAAAGTCACCTACCATTTATCCACGTACCAAGCCTAATAGTGCTGGACGTGAGGGGAGTGTATTGAGAAAAATCCAAGTCCTACACCGACTAGAGATTAAACAATTAAATAATATATAAGTGAAAAGTAACCCTCTCACCTTACATGCCAGTTTTGTGAACATTGATTTTGACCTTGGTTTTGGGTCTCCGCTGGAAGCACTGAGATCTTGCATGTAATGGAGCAGAAGCGATTACGCTCATCTTGTAAGTGCTTTCCACATTCTTCAGACGTGCCACCGGACTTTTGTCTTGTTGATATGGTGGTTTCTTTAGATTTAGACTGGGGGCTAAGATCAGCAGATTTAGGTTTGACGATTGAAGGCCGGGGTTTGAGATGCAGAATCCTTTCATTATTAGATATGTAAGTGTGAATTTTTGAGCAATCAAAATACTTGTGCAGCTCGGCATGGCGGAAGACATCCTGATAGGAATACTTGTAAATCTGAAACCTTCTATGGAGGGAATGAGCTTCCTTACAGTGCCTACACTCTCTACTTCTTTCTTTTGGTGAAAGATTCTGCCCCCCCATCTCGTTGGGTTCAGATTGGGTGCACAGTAGCAGTTGCGGCTTGTGGGCAAGTGAAGAAACACATACTTCTCTTTCTCTCTCTCTTTCTCTCTTTCTAATTAATTGCTTTCTATTCTCTTCACCCACTACCAAAAAAACAATGCCAACCTACCTCTCCTAAAGAGTAGTACAAATTCATTGCTTTCATACTTCTTCAACTTTCTGGGTATTTTATAGAATATTCAATTAAAATTTTCATTTCATTTCTTTCCAATTTCCACGACAATAATTTTTATTTAATAAAATTATCTTGCTCCTATTGATTTAGAGTCTTAGATTGATCATTGCATAGTAAAGAGATGCTCCAGGATTTGAACCCACAAACAGGTACATATGGAGACCACAACCTTGCTGCCGTGCCTAAGAACTCTAAGTGTTTATAGTTTGTGTCGTGCTCTTAATAACTTATGTGCATTCATTAATATCCAGCAAACAAAACAAAGGATAAGTTTGTGTTCCAATTATCTTCAACCTTAAGCTGGATCACGTTGGCTTGTTACGAACAGTGAACCCGAATTAAAAATCAGGTAATTTTAAAGATTTTTTTGTTACAAAAAAACAACAAATCTAAGGATGGTGAAATTTTTTTTCATAATTCAAATTTAATTTATCAATTTGAATGGTTTGGTCTTCACACGTCCGACCTTAGCATCTCCATTAATCCCTAAGCAAACATCAAAATAATGATTTTATTAATTAATAAGTTATAACTTAAACTCACTCCTTTGAGAAAAGGCAACATCATTCCAAAAAGAGCTGCATCACAGTGAACATAGAATCGGTCGCGAGTGAAACCACATCCCTCAAGCGTTTGTATTACAAGTTCAACATCATCTACAGCTCCTTTCATAGTTGTCCCTGCATAAATATACCAATTAAACCTTTCTAATTATGTGTCTACATTTGTAAAAAGGTGTGTGTGCATGAATGTGGTTGTTAATTATTAACAGTAACGTGTACTACATAGAGTACTAGTCAAAGACAAGAAGAGACCTATGTTTAAATTGATGATGGCTGGTTTGTCCTTGTGTGCAACAAGTAAAGCCTTTAGATCAACACAATCAATCTCACCCGAGACTAATGTTCTAACCTTCACACACTGCATTCGATACATTCTTGCTATTTTGAATATTGAATAATGCGAATCTTGAGAGGTATATAATATCCCATCAGGAAGTTGTTCTCTCCTGTGTATAATAAAGATATAAATCAATGTTTGTATTTGCAATGTATATATATTTTTTAAAATATCAAAAAGAAATTAAATGAAGTTGTTGAATAAAACTAAGTAACTAACCCTACTAAAATCCCGTGAAGGTTGCCTTCAGTTCCACCAGTTGTGACGTATCCCCAATACTCATTCTTCTCTATCTCCCACAGATTTGCAAACCAATCAAGCACGCAAACTTCAAATGCTGTTGAATTTAGGGAGAAACTACTCCCTAGAAATGGATCACCGGCATTGTTCAAATGAAAATTAAGCAACGGTAATAATACGTCATAGTTTAAATCCTGATTAGTGGGGTAGCCTGCAGTAGTTCGTATAATAATATAACGATGAAATGAGTATATATCTCATTTGGGGTTACGCCAAAGAAAGTGTTTTTTTGGCTGAAATGAAACCAATAAAAAGTAAACATACATTGGAAAGAAGAGAAAGCAGCGAAAGTGTACCCAAGTGGCGGAATCTGCGCTGATTTAGAGACTCAACGTATTGAGTAATAAGTGAAGCCAAATTTGCTTGTGTTTCGCCTGTGCACTTGGTGATAGCAAGGTTCGTATTGCAGTTGCCATCATTCTCTTCAATATTATCAATCTGCGTCTCTTTTTTTTTCATTGCTGACGATTCCTGACCAGTGCATGTGTTTATGTATATTATGTTTCCGGCAGATAGGTCTAGAGATCACAAAGCAATGATTGCGTATAAATAGCAAAAAAGTTAAAGTGGAACTATTGCATCAGAGCATTTACAATGTCCAATCACTTTAAATAAATTTTATTGTAACACGTTACTTATAAGTAATTCATATTATATTTTTATAATTTTTACTTTAATAAAAATTATTTGTAAACATTCTACTTTTTTACAACTCATACTATATTTTTTGACAACTCATACTATACTTTATAATAAATTTTAAAAAAATTAATTATTATAGATAATATATAAATATGAATAACAAACAAAAGAAATTATATAATAAAAAATTACAATAATAAAAATAAATTACATAATATAAAAAATTACCAAAATGTACAACAAAATTAAATATAAAAATTAAATACGCACTAATTTGTGATAATTAAAATTACAATAATATTTATTCTCCTAATTTGTACTTAATAAACTTACAAGCCAATTCATGATCTTTGAGTTGCTTCTCAGTCATTCCAGATGTGTCCTTCATGAGAATGTCATACATTGTACTAAAGTTAGTAGCCTCCTTCGCTTCAACCAATTTCTTTACTGCAATACTTCTTTCTAACATTGTTTTTGTCATATTATCCAACTCCTTTTTGTCAGAAGATGTTTCGTCAACCATTGTTTTACTATTTCTTTTCGTTACTTTTTGACCTATTAGACTAGACATTGGGGTTGTTGGGTCATATTCTTGACCATCACTGGCTGCATCTGTGTTAGAAAACATTGAGTATTGCCCAGATTTAGAGATCTTTGATCTTTTAGAAGAGCTCTCCATTGATTCAGATTTTCATTTTGGCTCATCTCTTAATAATAGACATGCATGCTCAAAATTGAATTTATCACTTACATCTTGTGAGTAAATTTTATATGCATTTGCAATTATGTCTTTTTCTAAGTTGTCACTTTTTTTATCACGAGTTTGTTTATAACATCCGACAAATAATTGAACTACTTTATTTATTCAAAACTAACAAATTTTTAATTGACCTGGATTCCTTTCTAGAAATTGATTGCGATTATTATTGTAATTCTCTTTGATTCTTATCTAGAAACTATTTCGATTTTGATCAACTCCCACAATTGGATCCTTCGAATAAGTAGATTATCCTCTTCAATAGAAAAGCTTACACGTGATTTTTTTTAGTACATATTTCTTCTCTTTGTTGTCCTCCTACATCAAGTGTGTTGTTCTCTAACCCAACTTGAAGAGCTCTCCATTGATTCAGATTTCCATTTTGGCTCATCTCTTAATAATAGTCATGCATGCTCAAAATTGAATTTATCACTTACATCTTGTGAGTAAATTTTATATGCATTTGCCATTATGTCTTTTTCTAAGTTGTCACTTTTTTTTATCACAAGTTTGTTTATAACATCCGACAAATAATTGAACTACTTTATTTATTCGAAACCAACAACTTTTTAATTGACCTGGATTCCTTTCTGGAAATTGATTGCGATTGTTATTGTAATTCTCTTTGATTCTTATCCAGAAACTATTTCGATTTTGATCAACTCCCACAATTGCATCCTTCGAATAAGTAGATTATCCTCTTCGACGGAAAAGCTTTCACGTGATTTTTTTTAGTACATATTTCTTCTCCTTGTTGTCCTCCTACATCAAGTGTGTTGTTCTCTAACCCAACTTGAGACTCAAATATTGAACCAATTGGTGAATCTGTTTCCCGATCTACTGACTCCACAACTTTTTCGAAAAATATTGAAGGCCTATAAAATATATTGGGATTAGTTGGTATTGGTGGTGGATACATAAAAAAATGGGGATTCAGAGAATTATTATTGGTTGAGTGTGGTGATGGTGGGTATAAAAAATAATAAAGATTTTGAGAATTTTTACCAAAAGGGGGTAGAAGTGGTGGTTGGTCTTGTAAATAATTAAAATAACTTTTAAAATTATATTGATTGGGATCTATGTGCTAAGAAAAAAAAAAAATTTGCATTATAGTTGAGTAATTTGAAGATTTAACGTACATTTAACTTGTGGACTCCAGCATGGTCAAGATTCAGTAGTTAATGAACGGAACTGAACGAGCGGTCGAGCAAACATGGACAAAATATCATTGCAAAAGTTTGCTGCCTAATTAATTTGGTAGTGGGAATGTACGATGGTCAGGTAGACATGGACAAAATATCATTGCAAAAGTTTGCTACATAATGCTCAGGGTAGCCAAGAAAGAAATAGAAAGAAAAATGAAGAAAAAACCATTGGCTAACAACATTAAAAAAAATATTACCTAATTGTATATAATTATTAAAAAAATTATAATATATTATCAAATATTATATATAATT